GATTGTGGGGATAGTTTCATGAATGTATGCATATGTCCAAACTTATCAAATTGTATGCATTATGTATAATTTTTGTTTATCAATTATGCCTGAGTAAAACTATTTAAAATAATAAAAACTCATGAAAGACACTGAAGTACGATTGAACAAATGGAAATACATCTATTTTTCTGGGATAAAATAATTCAAATTCATAAAGATGTTGTCTTAGATAATATACAGATTTAATGTGAACCCAATTCAAATAATAAATACAAGTATTGGTATCTTTGAGCTAAAAAAATTGTAGGAGTCTGTCTGAACAACTTAGTCTAATTCACAATTTTAGCCAGATATCAATGAGATTATATTTTTATTTTTGCCTATTATACAGTGGTTAATTCTTTGTTCAATATGAAAAAGAGACTAGAAGGAGAGAGATGTTTTCAGCAAATGAGTAATTTTAATTGTGTAAATCACATACTATTAATTCTTCTACAGTCCATTTTGAGTTAAATTGTAACATACAATTACTGGACATATAATTTTTTTTACCTTATTGTTCCTCTATAATTGTATTAGCTACTTCAAAATAATATTTAAATGATTTTATGATATAAGTTTTTGCAATATTAAAGACCAAAGCTTTAAAAACAAGTAAATATACAGTATTTTACAACTACTGATTTCTTGTAATTATATAAAATATTTTTATCCTTATACCTTATATTTTTAAATAAAATTAAGTATTAAAAGTACAAAAAGTTAGAAAGCATATCTGATGTGCTGTCTGATTTGAACTGAAGAGTTCTGAGTCCATTAACTAAAATGTATATGTCATCAGAAGTAATAGCTGAGAAAAGCTATGCCGTGAGCTTCAGCTTTTTGAGTTTTTAAAAGCTATTTCAATGTATATGCTCATCAGCTTGAAAATAGCATGAATGTGTTTTTTGGCCCGCAAATGTTTTCCAATTATATCTTATAATCAATTAGCAAAAGCAATTAGAGAAAGTAGAACATGGTCTTCTGTGCCCAGCTGCTTTAGAACTCTTTTAATTTAATGGAAAAAAATCACTGTAAAGGTTTGGTTTTAATTTTCATGAGAAAGATGTCTGTTTTGAAGTAATGTGCAACTGAGGTCCTCTAGTGTCACAGCTAAATATAACACGAGCTTTTAAGATTTTATGAAGTTTGGATCCCCTAAATTCTATGCATGAAGTCCAGGTTAAAAGCCACCTTGCATTAAGGGAATCTAACAATTTAATTTTTAATATTTATATGTAAAAGTATATTTCTTGATTCACCAAAGTTCTACCAGATTTAATGTTTTCAAAAAGAGGAAAAGTGATAGTGGTGTCAAAAATTATAAATTGCTTGTAGAGCAAAGCCCTGGGTAGATCATGCATGTTCAAACCCTGTCTTCACTATTTATTGTGTTAACTTGGACAAATTATTTAATTTCTGTAAACCTCAATTTCCCAATTGCTTAACTGGGAATGGTAACAATGTCTGCTTCCCTCAGTTGTTGTGGGGATCAAAGGATACACTGTATGTGAAAAATCTCAGCCAAGTGCTTAGCAGGGTAATGGTTCATTAAGTACAAATAAGAATTCATTTTTCATCAACACAACTGGATTAAAGGGAAGATGATATTTCGTGCAAAGTGACTCATAACTAGCCAAAAGGGGAAGTGGGGGCCACCTGTTTTAAAGTATATATTTGCCCCCACTTTAGAATTATGAATCTTTGGATAGTCTTTCAGGTTCTAGGCACATTCATAACGAGAGTAATTGTACCTAGGCAGAATTCAGATCATTAAGTGAACAAACCTGGACAGTATGATGTTGACAAGATGACTTGAATCTGAGACTAAATTATTTCATAGGTTCCCAGGACTATACAATGAATCATAGCAAAATGACTAGGTTAAGTTATAGCCAACTGACTTAATGTAATATGACGCAGCCAATAAAATATTAACCAAAACAAACAAAAAAACCCCAAAACAAAACAAAAGAAAACAAAGATTTTATGAAGTTTGTCTCTGAGAGAGAGAAGAAGAGAAAGAGGAGGGGGCAGAAAAGAACAAGGTCAAGAAAGATTACTACTTTAGATTTGACTCATAGCACAGAACCAAATGAGCTCAAAAACTAGGTGGTTATGTTTTGTTTGTTAATCAATCTTAAAGTTTTTTTGTTTGTTTTTAGGAAGGGGAGGGTTTCCATTCTTTCATATTCATGTATTTAGCAATGTAATTATAGTTGTTTTAAGTTTGGAATTTTTTCCTTTACATCATTGATTTGTTTTTTGAGGACTTTAATGAAAATTCTGTTAAAATTCCAAATTGTTCTTGTTTCACACATTCTCTGTTTGCTTAGGGCTGGCTATGTGGCACTTTAATATGGAACATACTATTGATAAAGAATAGTTTATAGGTTGGTTCTAATAAGCATTCTTCATGAATAGTAACTTTTTTGTTTTTTTTACAAACTTTATGGAGAATATCAATTTATTGCTTTATTTTAAAATATGGTTGATAATCAGAAATTACCAGACAGTTGAGGGAAAAAATCAGTTTGAGAAAGAGAGCCAAAAAAGAAAAAAAAAATTAACCAGAGGAAATGAAGATGACACACTGTTTTGCTTACTGAATAAAAGAATTCTAATAATTGTCCTTAGAGAGACTTAGAAGAATAACATATTTTTAACCAAAGGACATGATCCAATGAAAAGGAAAAACTAGAGAAATTAAATAGTAGAGTACATTGGGCTGAAGGCCCTGCTCATGGGAAATAAAACAGAAAGAAAACAGATCCAATCTTCATATGCACACCGTAGTTTCAACAAGATACAGTGAAATGAGAAAATAATGAAAGACGTAACAAATCACCTTTTCCTTATTAATGTTTCTGTGTTAATGGAACATGAGTCTTAGAAGGGCACACCTAATGCTTACTAGCACAAATGTTCAAATGCCCATACTATAGACATACTATGCTGAATTTTATCTATGGATAAAGTGAAAAACTGTCCCAAAAGCCTCCAGAGAGGAATAACATGGTATCTGCAACAAAATTAGAATCAGTCTGACATTAGACTTCTCACTATTAACGAAGAATACTCAAAGACAATGGAGAAACTCCAATTTAAGGGCAAGAATAAGACATTTGAAGACATGCCATGTTTTAAAGTGTCCTACTCATTTCCCCCTATGATGTACAATGGCCTCTGTCTTTTGAATTGCTGTGCACTCTGCCCCCTTGAGGACTTGCTTACTGTGTCCTCTGCCTGAAACATATTTCCAAGAGAGCTGCATGTCTTTTTGACTTCTTTTAGATGTCTGCATAAATATTACCTTTGTAGTGAGGCCTCTCTTCTCTTCTCTACTTTTTTGTCCTTAGCACTTAATCACGACATGCGATATTATGTATTACTTGTTTATTTGTTTAGCCTTCAAGAAAGAAGGGTAGGGTTTTTTAAAAATCTTATTTACCAAATATGATAAGATAAAAATGATATAAGTAGCTATTTATATTATTAAAAATAGAAGTATATTAATCTTATCATTGTGCACAATTAACAAAGAGTTAATTATATTAAATAAAAGTCCAACCACCAGGAAAATTGAAACAGAAACTTCTAAGGGTGGTTACCTCTGGAGAGTTAGAGTAGGATGAGAGGAGAGAGGGATTTTGGTCTTTCATGTCTGGTTCTTTTTTATGTTTTTTTTAGAGGAAGGAGTCATATTGCAACTTTTTAAAAAGTATATTATTCACCCCACTTTTTAAAAACATCAGTTTATTGAGGTATAATTTACATACCTTAAAATTTACCCTTTTAATGTACAATTCAAACCTGCAGAAGGTCAGATGCACAAACACAGTCATGACCTCGTCATCAAAATTGAGAATAGACCATCATTGCACAATTTCCTTCCATTCCTTTGTAGTTTGCCCGTCCACTTCCCCAAGCCCATGGCAACTAATGATCTGTTATTTCTTTTTTGTGCTTTTAATTTGTCTTTCATTTAGTGTGGGTTTCTTGTAGCCTGAATATAAATGTTTTAATTCTTATCTATTCTGATAATCCTTTTATAATTGGTGAGTTTACATAATTTATATTTAATATAATGATTGATACATCTGAATTAAAACCTATTAGTTGTTTTCCAGTTGTTCCTTTCATTTTTGTCCTTTTTTCCTTTAGTTGTGCCTGCTATTCAGTGGACTATTTTTTAGTAATTCTATTACGTCTGTTACTTGACTTGTTATTTATACCTCTTTTAAAAATTATTTTGAATGGTTACCTGCAAATATTAATCAGTTTTTTAAAGTCAATTCAAAATATAAAAACATGGGTAGAAAGGAAGCCTATACCAAAATGTTATATTGTCGGGAGGGGCACTGGGTCTCAATGAGTCTCCCCTACTTTTCTGTGTATCATTTCTCACTCCCCACATCAGTGATGTTTGATTTTTTAAAAAGTTGAGAGGGAAAGAGAGAAAGAAACTGGGCATCCCCATGGAAGATGGCTTAGAGGATATAGCGTAACAGGTAAAGAAAAATGTTTGATAAATAATGAAGTACCATAGTTGCTTTGTGGATCAATATGGAAAGTAAGATCATGTCTATCTACCATAAAATATACTGTAGCTATTTTTCAAGGATTTGACTATTTTTGTCTTGAGCAAGATAGATGTTTTTCATTGGTTTAGTTCTGCCATACTTCCTGATAATTTGGAAAGCCAAAATTCTTTTTCTGGAAAGAACAAATGTGCTTTTAGAGTACCCTTTAGGGAACTGGAGGATCTTTGTCAGATGAATACTGTTGTAGTCATAAAATTCAAAAATATGTACAAATCGATATTTTAGAAAATGCATGGACTTTTATTTTCTCTGAATAGAGGAGGAACAATAAAAATATAACTTTAAATTTTGTCACAAAACCTGATTTCATTCATCAAAATAGGTTCTATATCTGCTGTTTAATTGATCTGTGATTTTTTTTTGTTTCCTTTGTAGCTGTTCAAAGGTTTTGTGCATAGCATTTGAGGTACTCCAGGGCTTGCAGTATATGAACAAACATGGCATAGTACACCGGGCACTGTCTCCTCATAACATACTTTTGGACAGAAAGGTAATTACAAAAAATATATTTAAATATTTGCTTGTTATTTGAGATTGAAGACTACTGAAATCAGACACACTCAGGTAATCAGAGGGTAGGATAAGAATATATTTTCAGAATATTCATAATGAAGAGATGTACTTGTGATGTTATAAAAAAATATAAGTTATATAAATCCTTGTGTTTTCACATGCATTGTTCCCTTTTTCCTAAGGGTCAGTTTCTAATATCATGTCTGTTTTTCTTTCATTTGTTTTCCAAAAAAGTATGTATTATAGCTTCCTAATCCACCCTACCTCTGAATTTGCTTTTATCTAAAGAAATCCTCTCAATTTACGTAGAATGTCTTTTCTCACAGCACAACTGCATTGCATTTTCTCCTCTTTATTCTTTGTTCCTACTTTCTTTTCTTTATGTTAGTCCCCATTATCCAGTTGTTCATACATAGCTCCTTTTTTTTTGTAGTGCTCCTTCTACACTTGAAAATTTTATGAGTGAGTAATAAGAAGCTAGTCAATACTTCTAATAGAATTATAGGTTGCAAAATGGTATATTTTCAGGAATAATCATAATTTCATTAGTTTTCATTTGAAAATAGGATTACTCTTTTTCTCTGATTCTTTTCCAGACTTTCAGTACAGTTACCCTATGACATTAAAAATTATAAAAGAGAACATGGTTCTTATTAATTTCATATTTATAACAGTAGAGTACCTAACCAATGTGAATTGCTTTAAAATATAAATGTTTTGTAATTCTGGGGGATAAAGTTCTGAGGAAAACAACAAACTAATTTTGAAATCAACTTAATTTTTTAATCTTAAACATCTAGAAAAGGGAAAATTTAAGAGATTTATAAAATATATTTGCCTTTTATTAGGAACTTCAGTTTTGAGATAATTAAATTAATATGTTGTGAATGGAATTGCAACTCACTGAAATAAAATATTTTGTGAAAGTTACCACAAAGTATTCTAAGTAAGGATTCAAAGCAAATGAGAAGACTTTTGCTTTTTTTTTGCTTTGTCAAATAGCTTGGAAAATATAAACAGCAAAAATGTTAATGTTTGTGTGTGTGCATACATATACACATACATTTATATGCATACTTACATATAAGTATATATGTACATATATAGATTATGTTTTTAAGAAATATAAAACAGACTTCAAATACTGGGAAACAGTTTTTAATAAAATCATATGATAAATATATTTGTGTCTGACTATATGATGGATTCTTTACTTATAAAATGTATAATGATGATTTTCCCTGCTAGTAATATTAACATACTCCAGAGTGATTTTTTTCCCTTTATTTTTGTAGGGACATGTTAAATTGTCTAAATTTGGACTTTATCACATGACAGCTCATGGTGATGATGTTGATTTTCCAATTGGGTAAGAATATGTTTTCTTTGAGTGTTGTCCTAAACTTTGTAATCTTTGATAAAGTGTGTGTTTTGTTAGTTATTTGTGACATTACTTTTTGATGTACAACTAGCTTTTATTGACATAACTTACTTTTTGAAATACTTTTAAAAGAATAGACAATGAATTTTCCCAGCACCTGAAAGTTCCCTGATGTTGATCTTTCACTGAATTGGCAGGCAGGCTGAAATATCTTGAAATACCTTGCTTACTTTGTATCACTAATTAATTTTTTTAAAGATTTTATTTATTTATTTTTAGAGAGGGAAGGGATGGGGAGAGAGAGAGGGAGAGAGAGAGGGAGAGAAACATCAATGTGCGGTTGCTGGGGGTCATGGCCTGCAACCCAGGCATGTACCCTGACTGGGAATCGAACCTGCGGCACTTTGGTTCGCAGCCCGTGCTCAATCCACTGAGCTATGCCAGCCAGGGCTCACTAATTAGTTTTATTTAATTCAGAATTAGATAAATGTGAAGCAAGAATTCTGAAAAGATTCTTATGTATGTCCTCAAAAGACTGAGAAAAATTGCTCTCATATTATTTTTCTTTGTTTCTGAATTTAATTCCCTACTTTTTAAAGGTATAATTGTATCTTAAGACTCAAGTCATTGTAAATTTCAGAGGTGATGGGATAGATTCTATACCTGAAAGTCTGTGTTTAAGTTTGAGAGCTTTATTTGATCATTTCTGATACAGAAATGCAGGTTTATGTTGTCCTCCAAGGAAAGAATGAACATTTTTTTTCATCCTGTACTCAAATGTATGCTTTTGACATAGACCTTTGTGTTATTTTTATTGTGTGGTTGCTTTTTAAATATATAAATAATATAATTCTTTTATTATTTGAGTGTTTAATTTTGATATTATTTTAGGTATATAGAAGTTATAAACTAGTCCAAAGAAATTCTGTATACCCTTTATTTACTCAGATTCCCCAAATAGTAACATTTGATTACATTTGCTTTACCTCTTTCTTTTCTCTTCTTCCTACATATATATGTGTGTATAAATATATTTTTAATCATATAAGAGTAATTAGTACCTAAAAATGGCCTTTACCCTGAAATATTTTAGCTTGTATTTCCTACAGTAATGAATTTTTTACATAAACATAAATGAATTATCAAAACCAAGAAATTAATATTGATATAATACAACTATGTAAGCTACGAACCTTCATTATACTTTTTAGTTATTGGGTGATTATTTTTAATAGTACCCATTTGTGTTTTGCTGTTTTGAACTCTCTAAATTCAGTTTTATCATCGCATTACTGAGAATTGTGGGTCAGAGCCTTGGAGTATTTTTCTGCTTAAAAAGTTAATTATACGTTTTTAAAAAGATCTCATTTATATATTACCCTTTTATCTTTAAAAGTTAAATTATAGGTTTCTTACCAAAACTAGATATGTTAGGACATTGAGCAAAAAAAGGAAAAAAAGACTCATGGACATGGACAACAATGTGGTTATTGCCGGGAGGGGTGGGGAGTATAAGAGGACTAAATGGTAATTGAAAAAATACAACAAAAAATAAATAAAGTAGCCCTGGCTGGCATAGCTCAGTGGATTGAGCACGGGCTGTGAACCAAAGTGCCGCAGGTTCGATTCCCAGTCACGGTACATGCCTGGGTTGCAGGCCATGACCCCCAGCAACCGCATATTGATGTTCCTCTCTCTCTCTCTCCCTCCCTCCCTTCCATCTCTAAAACTAAATAAATAATATCTTTTAAAAATAAATAAACTATTTAATCATTCCTTCCTTTATTTATTAAGAAAATATTTATTGAGCACCTTCTCTTCTGCCTGCTGAATATAAAAAATCAATTAAGTATTTTCCTGTCTTCAAGAGGTTCAAGGTTTATTGGCATTTCTTTGTTTGTTTATATAGCCTACTTATGAAGGTACATAAATTCATAATTTTAAAGTTCTGCATTCCAAAACTTGTAGTCATAGGCAGCAAATAATTGTTGTTATAAGCACTAAAACAGTATTTTGTAAAAACAGTCTTCACTATTTGTTTAAAAACAAGTTTTGAATGTAATCGAAATAAGTTCAGAATAAAACTCTAGTATCTTCATCATATGTGATAATTACCTTTTGAAGTAGCTTTGAGGAGCTGTGGTAAACATGATTCCTGCTGCTCTATTTTGTCTGAATTAATTTGTGTGTGAGAGAACTCCAAAAACATAATATAAATATGAATTACTTTAATTTTTTGCCTTTTACTTAAAGGTCCTTTAGGTTATGATGAGGAACAGAAAAAAGGAAGTGATTTTTCTTAAACATATCAAGCATTTTTGGACTACCTTTGAATTGAAAAGGCTTGAGTGGAACTGGTCTTACGTTGCCATTTGGCCTGGCTTACTTTGAAGTCATAGACCCAAAGGGTCTGAACAGAAGGTATCAAAGAGCAAAATCTGAAACATTAGCCAGGAAAAATAAAGTGATCAAAAAGCTAAGACATGAAAGAAAATATTTATAACAGAAGAAGCTTTCAGTTGATTCAAAAGACAAATATTGAGGAATAACAAAGTAAAATGTTAACATCTGTTTCAAAATATTATAAAGAGTTAGAATTAGACATTCATTTTAGCAGGCCAGTAGCTTAATACATTGTTAGAACTTCAAGCAGGTGATGAAAGCCACTTATATTTACCTCACCAGTCATACAGCAAGGTTCTGGTAATTTTCTTTCAGTGTTAAAATGCTATCTTTAAAGAAAAGATACCTGTTACAAAGAGATATTCTACATTAAAAAACAATCTTAGGGCTTATTGATTTTATTAATTTAATCAGCCCTTGATTGAAGCAAGGGCCACCTCTCTGCTTCTAGAGCTCCCCAGTCAGAGTTTTAGGTGTGATAACTTACAGTGCTCCTTGACTTTTTACTCCTCATACTATTATTTTGGGGTTAGATGTGCTAGAAACAGGATTAAAAATGGCCACTTGTTCTGGACATGTTATGGTGATGATAAAAGTGCAACATTGCTTTTGTGACATATTTTCTAGTTTTATTAATGTATTTGCATATATATATTCACAAATATTTATAACAGTTTAATTAGGTAGGCATTATTATTTATATTTTACAGATTAAGAAACCCAAATCACACTTAGAATATGTGCTAGGACTGAAATGTAGACCACAGGCGTTACTGTATTAACTCTAATACTATTTCTACTCGACTTCAGCTGTCTCCAGAGACATCCCATATTCTTTAGAAAAGCAATATAATATCTTAGGGTAAATGACCTAATACAAATTTGTGTATGAGAGAAATACATGGAGAAATTAAAAGAAAATTTTAATATCATTCTCATGATATTAAAGTGAAAGAAAAAACCCTAATTTGCCCATTTAAATTTAAGTTATGCTCCCTGACTTAATTGGCTTGTATTTCATAAGTAAATAAGAAGTATTGACAATCATACTGTGAGAAGGTATCTATAGAAACACACAGGAAAAAAAATGGAAGTAATAAGTGAGTGCTTACATGGCATCCATTACATAGATGTTACATAAACCTAAGTATATTTTGATTAACATCATTATTGCAGTGTGACATAATAATCTAATATCATTGAATCAGAAAATCTAAACAGAAAAAATATCTAGATGGTTGTACTCATGACTGAACTTGACAATAAATGAAGAAAAGGGTAGGCACACATCCAACAAACAGAGCAAAAGTTCTCTCATTTTTCAATTGTATTTTGAAGCTGTTGTCTTTCCTTTTGTGTCCAGTCAGCAAGATTCAAATTTAACAATTACTAGTAGGTTTGCCTCTTATGTATGATGTGCTTTTTAAATTGTTGTCTTTAAGGCAGTCCTAACTGGCATTTTGATAAAGGATTAAGTAAAAAATATATGTGTATATACAGTATATAGACAGAGACAACAGTGTGGTGACAGCAAGAGGAAAAGGGGGATGGGTGTACGTGGAGGTGGGCAAAGGGGACACAAATGGGGACGGAAAGAGACTTTGGGGCAGAGGGCAACCGATGCCATGTGCAGATGATGTTTTGTTGAGTTATACACTTGAAAGCTGTATGTGAACCAGTGTTACCCCTATAAATTCAATTAAAAAATAAAATAAATATTTTTTTTTAGTTTTTTTTTGTGCAAGTCACTTGACTAATACAATTTTTTTAAGATTTTATTTATTTTTAGAGAGGGAAGGGAAGGGGAGAGAGAGAGAGAGAGAGAGAGAAACATCAATGTGCAGTTGCTGGGGGCCGTGGCCTGCAACCTAGGCATGTGCCCTGACTGGGAATCGAACCTGCGATGCCTGGTTCACAGCCCGAACTCAATCCACTGAGCTACGCCAGCCAGGGCTAAATATTCTTTTGATTAACAAATATATACTGAGCCATTGGTAGTGACTGAGGATTTATAAAAATGAATGATACATCAGTGCCCTCAAGGGGTTTATTTATATGAGAGGTAAACTTTTGTATATTAAAAATATAAACATAAAAACCTCAAAATGTATAATATTGCATGTTGTGTATAGTCTACTAAATAAAATATAGAACAGGTAAAATAAGTAGCTGACAGTCACTAGAGAACCATAAGAAAGATACTAATAAAATAATATGGGCATCACTAAGGAGAAATAATTTCCACCTCAGCAGATCAACTTCAGGTTCATGATATTACTCATGAAATGAATTTATCAGAAAAAAAAGAGTTTTAGTCATATGGGAAGATTTTTTTAATGTAATGTGATTTCCTTACCATTTTCTTTATATTTTACCATAGAATTTTTCCCCTAAGCATTTCCCTGCACTTAATAAGTACTAATATTTCTCTTCAGTGAAATATACTGAAATTAAACAATATCAAAATCTCATAAATAGTAACTAGGATAAAATAGTTGATTGAAGTGAAAATACAAATTCCCCAAATTCCCAGAATATTTTAAAATCTGAAAACACCAATTACAGAAGTGTAGAGAAAGTTGCCT